CTCACTTGTGCTTTTAACATCTTTCCTTCTATTTCACTAAACCATTTCGCTTTCTTTCCTTTACATGACAAACCTTGGAGACTCTTAAGCTGTCGCCATGTGATTAGGTTATTACCTTTCATATCAATGAGTTGATTCAAGGGTAACATTGGGAAATTACCCTAGTGACCTTATATATCATAATAATAAAATTAAAATAAGAAAATGTAACAACTTATACTAAAATAATATTAAAAAATATAAATACAACTAATATTTTTTTAAATTTAATCTTAAAAAATGAAATATTTTTGTATTGTTGAATATTATTGTAAAAATTGTTATAAACAATTTAAATGTATGGGAAAAAAACATCACAAAAATGATAAAAACTATAAAAATTGTTTTATCTGTAAATTAAAACATATTAGATGTGATGATAAAACATGCACAAATTGTTGCAAATTAAACAAATGTAATGATATCATTTGTTTAAATTGTATAAAAAATGGTTTAAATTGTGAAAGATCTATTCCAACAAATTTAACACAATTTAATGAATTAGAATTAAATTATTTAGTTTGCCAATATGAAAGATGTATTTCAACAAATCGATTACATATTCAAGGTTATTGTCAAACAACAAATAATATTAGCTATCAAGAATTAAAAACAATTTTTAATAACACATATTTACATTCAGAATATATTTTTGGATCATTTGAAGCTGCTTCAAATTATTGTAAAGCAGAATTTTTTCAAAAAAAAGGAACATATAAAACATTAGATGAAAAATTTCAATTAAACCCAAAACTTAGGAAACGTATTGAAGGACATAAAAATATAGTTGGACCATTTGAATTTGGTATTCCATATAAACATCTTAGTCATAAAGCAGAAAAAAATAAATTAGAAAAAAAATTATAAAAGAAAATAATATTCTTGTTTTTTAAATTTAAAAAAAAAATGCAATCGATTATTAAATTAAACAATATTTTTTGTGATGAAACAAAAACTATTGCATATTTAATTGAAACAAATGTTATTAAAATTCCTGAAAAATGTTCTATATGTCAATCAGAAATTTATCTTCGCAATATAATTTTATTTTGTAAAAATAAAACTTGTTATAAAAATGTTTCGATTTTTAAAAATACTATTTTTTTTAATTCAAATTTAATTTCATCACATATTCTTTTAATTGGATACTTTTTTATTAATCGAATTAAAACAACAACATTAATTAATCTTACTAGTTTTACAGCTAAAACAGTAATCAAATTTGTAAAATTATTTCAAAATAAAATTATCAATTCTTTAACAGAAGATGACTTTTTATTAGGTAGAGATTATGAAATAATTGAAATTGATGAAAGCAAATTTGAAGATTTCTGGATTGTTGGAATGATTCAACGTTCAAAAAATATAAAAAATAAAGCAAAAATTAATTCTATTCAAAAATGCTATTTTGAAATTGTAGAAAATAGAAATACTGAAACAATACATAGAATTATTAAAAAACATATTAAAAAAGGATCAAATGTATACAGTGATAGTTGGAAAAGTTATTGTGGTATTGAAAAATATGGAATTAAACATAAACAAGTAAATCATAGTAAAAAAAATATCAAATTATTAAAACGAAAAATTCATAGTAATACAATTGAGTCAGTCTGGAATGCTCTTAAACTTAATTTACCAAGACAAAATCGAAACAAAAAATTTATTCAAAAATATTTATTACAATATATTTGGTATTAAAAACATAAAGATAATATTTGAAAAGCTTTTATCGATTGTTTAAAATAATAAATTAAACTTTGTAGCTATTTTTGTTTCCTGTTTTCTTATTATGTTCTAACTTAAAATCAATAGCTAGTTGTTTTGCTTGTTCACTATTTCTTTTCTTATTAATATAAAATTGTTTTGATTTATATTTATTTTCTTTCTATAGAAAACACCATGATTTTTGATATTTATCAAAATAAATTCCATCTAGTATTATTTTTTTGTAATTTACAATTCAATAAATTTTGTTTTGATGTTATTTCTTGAAGGTTATTTTTATGATTATCTGTTTCAATTCTATTAATATGATCAATTATTTTCCATTCTGAATGAATTATTCGATGAAGAAATAAATGCTTTTGTTTATTTTTTTCTCTAATGTTTGTTTTAATATAATAAATATTATTATTTTTATCATAATACCAAGTATAATTTTTAATTAAATCGAAATTGTCAAGATCGGTTAAAAATGTAATTTCTGAACTTTGGGTCAAAACTTCATTGAACAATGTTGCATCGATCTCTACAAGACAATAAGAATTCGATTTTCTTCAAGATTTAATAATTGGTAATTTAGTCCATGATGATAGAACTTCAAATGAATCAAATATTTTCTTCCAAGATGACTTATTAGTTTCTTCTTCAAGTGAATATATTTTTAAACTTCCAATTATAGAATTTTCATTAAATTTATATATTTTTACATTTCTCTGAGTCAAATTTAAAAAAAATTTATTCAATTATATTTCAGTTTTATTAATTATTTATTTATTAAAAAAATCATTACAAAAAAAAAATAAAAATGAAATTAAAAAAAAAAATTTGGTTCAATCAGTCATTGAATTTTAAAAAAAAAATCAATGTGCAGTTCCACTACGAGCAAGCTTGAACTATGGAACCAAAAAAAAAAAGAATGAAGAGCCAAGATTTCAAGGGAGATTGTATGTCGGACCCCAAGCCATAATGACACAAAGATAGTAAATTTTTAAAAAAAATTACTATTACAACCTTTCTTTACGCTCATCCATTCAAAAGAAAAAAAGCAAACTTAATTAGGTTCGCCATCGAAAATTATAAGAAAACTGTTTGTTAAGTCATTTGAGAACCAGGTATCTCAAAATCAAATGAATTCAGGGTAGAGCTTCTGGACAGGATCTTTTATTTTTGACACAAAATGTACAAAAATATCGACCGCTCACAGTAGTTACAAAGAAACTTCATCCAAACAGTTAACTCAAATCGTGCTACTGACAACGATTATCATAGTTTATAGCAAGAATCGCACTGGGATACCAACTACATTCTCATTGGATTTTAGAAAGAATTATAAAAAAAATTGACGAGTTCACTCTTCTCTACTATATTGAAAAAATTTTATGCATAAACTTTATAGGGATTCTGTTTAGAATAGTTTAAACTATAGAAGTTTAGAGGCCCTAGTTTCAAAATGTGTAGTCATCGAAGAGTGGAACAAGTGAAGAGAAAATTTTTTGTAGATCAACAGTTTATATAAATGATTATCATGCTAAATATAGATTACTATTAAAAAATTATATGATTATCATTTACTAAAAATAATTCTTATTGATACTTTTGATTTAATCATGTTAATTAATATTAGAAATGATTTTCGAATTTGAATGTTCTATATATGAAATAAAATTTTAAACATTATTTAAAAGTACAAATAAAATTAAATAGTTACAAATTTATTCTGATTCGATTGTTTATATTACACTTACAATTTTGTACCTATTGAAAAATTTTACTACAAACATGTCTACATTATCTAGCAGAAATAACCAACAAGAGATTTATGAAGACTTGCCTCCTTCTTATAATGAATCACAAGCATCAGGTATTTAAACATTAACTTTTCTTCAAAAATAAGCATAAATATTTTATAAAAACAAAATTTATACAAAAATTTCAACAACAATTATAACAAAATGACAACTTTCTTTTCAACAGCAGCAGTTGTTCCAGTAATCAACAAATTGAAACGATTACTGAAGAAATTGTTGCTTCTTCTGAAGGTATAATTTATAAATTATTTATTAAAAAATTTAATATTATTAAATATTTTATTTTATTTTAGATATAAATTATCTTTCTGAATGAGTAACAAATGAATTTACTCAATATGAGAATAAAATTCATTCTCTTGAAAACTCAATAATGATGTTACAAAAACATCTTTTAATTTATCAACTTATTCTTTTTATTTTTTTAATTTTTCCGTTCGTTTCTTGGTTATATGTTTATAAGGTTCATAATATGAATCTTGAATTAATTAAAGAACAAGTTGGGATTGAAATGAAGAAAATTTTATTTAATGAAAACTTAGATAGAATTATTAATTTTTTAGATTCACATAGAATGTAAATATTTTATTTTGTTAGTTTTCTTTATTTACAATGTGTCTGAATCAAATTATTTAGATTCAAATACATCGTAAATAAAGAAAACTTTAAATGATTAATAAACTGCACATTATATTTAATATATTAAGTTTTAAATTGTTTAACTATAAATAAACTTCAAGTTTTATCAATTTATATTATAAAATTTTATTATAAAAATGTTAAAATTTTACAATTTTATACGTAACTTGTTGCCAGAAAAAATGTCTGATAATAATATGACAAAACCTCAACTTGTAGCAAAAGTTAATGACCTAATGGCAGCACTTGATAAACAAAAAGAAGATCATGCTAATGAAATCAGTCTTTACCAAACAACACTTAAAAAACAAAAACAAGAAATGAAAGAAACTCATGCTAATGAAATCAGTCTTTACCGAGAATTAATTAATGCAAAGACAAATGAAATTACAACTTTAATGTCTACGATTGAAAACTATAAAAAAGAAGTTGAAAGAATTGAAGAAATAAGAAAAAAACATGAATATGAATATAATGAAAGATTAAAGGAAAAGGAAAAAACTCATAAACGTGAAAGAGAAGAAAGAGAAAGAAATTATAAACGTGAAACAGATCTTATGCAAGAAACTATTAATAGTTTAGAACAAACTATAAGAGATTTACAAACTCAACTTAGAAATTATGAAAATGTTTCTACTCCTGAACTATACTAAAAATTTTATTGAATATTTTTTTTTTCTTTTAGATTTGATATGTAAAATTTCTAAAAGTTTTTTTTTTTCGTTTCAATTTTTTATTTATATTATTATTTTAAAATTGTTATCTAATATGAATAATGTTATAAATAAATTTTTATAAATAAATAAATATATTTTAATTAATAAAATTTTTTTTTCGAAGTAATAATTTTCTATAAATAGTTTATTCAAAGATATAACTTATGAAAGCTATTTTACTAAAAATAGTTTAATTCAAAGATATGACTCATGAAAGCCAATTTACTAAAAATAGTTTAATTCAAAGATATGACTCACGAAAGCCAATTTACTAAAAATAGTTTAATTCAAAGATATGACTCATGAAAGTCAATTTACTAAAAATAGTTTAATTCAAAGATATGACTCACGAAAGCCAATTTACTAAAAATAGTTTAATTCAAAGATATGACTCATGAAAGTCAATTTACTAAAAATAGTTTAATTCAAAGATATGACTCACGAAAGCCTTTTACTAAAAATAGTTTAATTAATAAAAGACTTATGAAAACCATTTTACTAAAAATAGTTTAATTCAAGATAAAAATGAGTTTATTTTAAAAGGAAATTTTATATACAATTAAATAATAATTACAAAATGAAAAAAAAAATTAAACTATATGATTGGTGCAATCTTATTACAAAGTAATTTGTTATTGTTTTCTATTATAGAAATAAGATGACCATTGTTTTTTTCTATTGTACCAATAATCTCATTGTATATATCAAAATATTTGTTGTACAATTCATTTTTTTCTGT